ATGAAAATAAAATCATAAGAATCATATTATAGCCAGATTTTTTTTAAAGAAAGGTAACCATTTCTTATGAAAATAAAATCATAAATCAAATTTAACTTTCAAAATGAGAGTAGATAACCAAGGGGAAACGAACGGACGAGAAAAAAAAGATAAGTTTTTAATTTTGCAACATTGACTTCTTTTATAAGTTTTATTTGTTATCTCACGTGAAGTAATTCCGTTGGTGCAAAAAATTTTTTCTCATAACGGAGGCTTAGCTGCAGTTTACGTTTTCATAAATTATAACGCGTTTATATTTTGATATGTTACGATTATTACGAACGGAAGGACAGAAATCTAAAAAAGGTATTTTTGTGTAAATCACTTGAAAAAATTATTTATTATATGACGCACTAGTGAGTCATATTAAAAAATATGACGTTGACACTATAAAATATAAATACCACTCGTGACCGTAGTATTTTGTACGATGCAAATCTTGTTCTTCAAAAAAAAAAAAAATTGCGAAAGTTTATGAAAAGAAAAAAGAAGTTAATACTAATTAGTACCGATTCAGAATTATCTAAACTAAGGCCGAAGTTAAAAATACAGAAAAATTTGAAAACAAGATATATAATTCCTTTTGACATAATAACAAATTGTCGAATATATTTCTGCAATGAAAAAAAAGTCAATTAAACAAGCTGTTGATGAAATTGGTAGATTAATATGTATGTAACAAGATTATCTATTACATAGTTCAATCTGATGGCCTTTTTACAGAGAACTCGCAGACTTTAAACCAGAACAAAAAGTTCACAAATATTGTGGAATTGCAAATTTATATCACAATTACATTCAAAAAAAAAAAATCTGTAACATTATTGAGAACATATAACTTTATTGATTTCTAGTATATTATTATGCTATACTAGTACTAAAGCTATTTTTACAAATAAATGACTTAAATGATTTCTAATTTTTCTATTTTATGAATTTTGGCTAATTTTACATAACCTAAATTTCATTCTTTTAATTTTATGTATACATTTTGACTAAAGATGTATGTTCATTTATACTAATTTAATAAGATTCTTACATTTAAATATTCACCTTCTTCCAAAATAATTAAAAAGGGAACTATCTTTTTGTTGATTGTTATTTTTAATTGTAACTTTGAGATTTTGTTGTCTTGTATTTATTCTGTTCAAACAATTATCAAGGTGTGAATTAATCCTCAATATGGATGGATTATTAAATACTTTTTGACATCTAGGACAATCCCAGTTTATATTCAAATGCTGAGTATCAGAATTAGACATTAATGTTTTATTATTATCTGTAATTTCTGTAATATTCGTTACCGATTCTTTGATTAAAGTTTTTACTCGTTGTTTTTTGATACTAGGACCAGTTTGTAAAGAACCTTGTTTATTGTTATAACCATCTTGTTCATTTACAAGAACCTTGAAAAACTAAAAATTTAAGAAATTTAAAAAAATTGAAATAATATTGTATATATATATATAATATATTATGATATTATAAGAATAAATATTTAATAATAAATTACCCTTTTGATTCCACATCTTCGTTCTACTTCTCGTGGATGTAATGTAGAAAGACGAATACCCAAGTTACGAATCTTCATAGGTAATTCAGCTTCCAAAATCTGTTTTCCAAAATAATATAAATCATCTGATTCAAAAATGTATCGAGGAATTGTTCTTGAACGGCTTTTCACTTCAAACGTAGTTGACTTGAAATACAATGTTACCGTTCGACCCTAAAAATATATTAATTTAATTAAAATAATTTATAAATTATTATGATTATTAAATTACTATTAAGAGACTTACTGATAAATCTTCCTTTTTTAACTCAAATTCGAGAAGGTCTGTTAACTGTCTAAGCTTGGCTAATAGATCCTGGGGATTGCTTAATGGTACAAAAGTTCTTGAAACGCCCATACTTTTGTGATTCTCATTACTAATTAGATAGAATTAAATAAAAAATAAAATTTAATATAAATAATATAATAAAAAATATTAATAAATATATAATATATAAGGACTAATTTGACTCCTCTAAAAATCATCTATAATCATTTAAAGCTAAACACATTGATTGTAAAATTTATGATACAGGTTTAAATATTGTTATCTGAAATATAAATATAGTATTTATATAGAATATCTGGCACCTATCAGGTATCTAATATATTGAAAAAAATTATGTTATATATCAGATATTTGAAACATTATATAATTATATACATTGATTGAAAAATTTTTTTGTTCAAATTACATATGCCTATATAATAAATATTCCTGTTTATTTTTGATTATTTGTGAGTAATCTAAAATCTCTACAAATCTTCAAAAATCATTCCTATCATATTCACCAAAAAATTACCTGTTTGACTGTATATATCATATATTAAGTATTTAATAGGTACCAGATATTCTGTAAAAGTTATACATATTGTCAAAACTATTAAATTTAGTTGAACCATATGAAATTGATGTAATTGATACAAATTATTGACATAATTATATATAATATAATATAAATATTATACCTATCTGGGTTTCAGATAAGTGATATTTTAACCTATGTGGAGAAGTCATATGAAATAATACTTACAATTTCACACTTGTTGAGCCAATTCCAATTGATGCTTGCATTATAAACTCAAATGAACATGGTGTAAATAATTTATGTATATAAGCAAGTTGGAAATATGCATCACCCATCGTTTTTATTCCAAGTGCATGCAAAAGGGCTTCTGTGACACGACCAATTCCATTGACTTTACGAACTGGTAAATTTCGAATAAATTCAATTATTTGACTACGGTCATTTTGAATTTGAAATTGTCCATTTGGTTTATTTACATTAGAACATATCTTAGCTAACAACATATTAGCTGCAATCCCTGCACTTGATGTCAAGTTTGTCTCTTTATAAATTTCATCTCTGATTTCTTTTACCAGATTATTTGGTGACTTATTAGTTGTTCTTAAATGTTCCGTAATATCCAAATATGCCTCATCAAGACTTATTGGATAAAAATCAGGATCATATTTCTTAAATATTTTTCGAATTTGACTAGATACTGTATAATACTTTTCAAAATGAACTGGAATTATAATCAAATCTGGATATAATTTTTTTGCTATAAAACCTGGCATTGCACTTCTTATTCCATACTTTCTAGCTTCATAATTTGCTGTACAGAGCATTGATTCATCCCCGACAGCCATTGGTTGATTATGCAATTCTGGGTTATCCTTTTCTTCAACTGATGCATAAAATGCGTCCATATCAATATGAACTATTATACGAGATAAATCTCTGTTACGCTCAAATTCGTTTATCAACTGGTTAATATTGGCCCAGTTTAATGTTAGGTCTTTCTCTTTAAGTGTTTCATATTTTTTAAGCATCCCTTTGAGTTTGCTATTTAATTCTTCATTTTTTCTTGTCTCATTTGTGAAAAATGGTGTGCCTATTGTGGTTTCATATATTATCTGACTGACTCTCTCTATATCTACATTTTGTAGACCTGCTTTATGCGAAGCCATTGCACCCATTTGTCGACGTAATGAATCATTATTATTATTATTATTATTATTATTATTATTATTATTATTTAATTGATTGTTTTCAGTACTTGAAGACAAGCTGGAGGATTCATTAGAAGCGGGCTTTGAACTTAAAGAAAATGAACTTGACGAAGACAATGTACTGGATGAAGATAAAGTACTGGATGTTGACAATCTACGAAGTGAACAAGGTGATGAAGTTGAAGAGCATAATGTACTGGTTGATAAATTTGATAAGGATCTCGACAAACAAGGTGAGCTTTCAATCAAAGAAGAGTCCATTAACAAAGAGCTTGATCCAGTACTGGAGCTTGATTTGGTGCCGGGCGAAGAACAAGGAGAAGAATTACTTTCTAAGTTGTTACTGGATGATAAACATGAAAGACTTTTTGCCGAAGAGATTGAGTCTATGTTGGATGATAACTGAACGGATGAACTTTCAGCTATCTCTTCATTTTGGTAATTTAATATCATTTTATAAATTTCTTCGTCAATGTCTACAAATTCAGTTTCAACAATGTTGATTTTAGGTGGAACATCGATAATATTATCAGTCATTCTTGATAAAAAGAAAGAATTTTTCAAATTAGTAACATTTCGCTTAAAACTTTTAAAAGCATCGTATTTCATTCGTTTTCTTTACAAAATACTTCAAAATTACACAGGTTGAACATATAAACATTATAATTAAAAGAAATAAAGTTTGTAAACAAAAATTTACAAACGAAACTTGTAGAAAAAGAAAAGTAATTTCGAAAAACAAAATTATGACAAAATAAAATAAAATAAGACTTTAAACTCGCGTAGAAAAAAAAAAAGCTTAAAAAAAGTTTACTTTTTAAACTTGTAATGACAAAAACAAAAAAAAAAAAAATTTCTTACTTTTTAAATGTAGAACTTGTAGTGTGGAAACAAAAAGTGTTTGTTTGAGTAGTAACAAAAAGTGAGAAAGCCTAAACTTTTAAAATTTTTGATCCCAATTAAAAAATTTTTCAACGAAAATAGTAAAAATTAATATTAAAAAAATATTAAGGGGTAACGCGAGATCGATTACCAAACGTGCCAAACATGCATATCCGAATATGTACAATTGTTATTGTATTCTAAAAATGGATATAAATAATGGTTCATTGCTTATGCGCAGTTGAATTAATTACTTAGTACTGTATAAAAATATATATCGACTATGTATTGACATATAAAGTTATATATCATGTGAAAACGTTTTTTTTATTATTCACGTATTTTTAAAGTTGCAATCTTACTGCGCACAATACTACAATGCTTGCGTTACAATAATTAAAAGATTGGGTATGGTAAAAAAATTATTTCTAATAGCTCGAAGTTAAGATTCAATCTCAAAAGTTTATTAAATATTAATTTGTATAAATTGTTTTTTTTTATTATTTAAATAATATTTTATGTTTGTTAGTATATTAAATAATTTTTAGAAATAATTCCGAGCTTGGTACTTCCTGATGGAGAATGGTATAATGTTTGCGTTTGCAGGCTTCTGGAGATCTATTTGGTAAATAATTAGAAATCTGTTTCCATTCTTCATGATAAAGTCTGACAAGATTAATTAATTTATTTTCTTCAATTCCTGTCCATGGTGCTTTTTTCTCTATTTCATCTAATGAACAATCCTTTAAACCAAATTCTTCTTGATGCTGACTATAATATGTTCTTATAGAAGTATATCCTCTCCCAGGAAAGAATTTTGCAATTCTATCAAAATCCTCATTGTAGTTCCCTATTAAATCCTTTAATAATTTTTCCTCTGCTTCTGACCAAGAAATTAACTCACGTTGATATGAAACATGAGCAAATAAATATTTATGAGAATGATAAGATTCAAGACAATCTTCCCGGGTAAATTACTTGCTAATCTGGACCATGTATTTCATAGAGATTTCTAAATTTAACTATATCTTCTGAACTCCATCGTCGCATCTCGTGTTGAAAAATATTGAGATTAGTTGAGATCAAAGTATTATGATACACTAACCGTTGTATATTATTGGGTTTTTTGTCAGTAAAAATGTTGTGCTATAAGATCCCAACCTTGGCCATATTTTTTGAAACAGTTCAATAAAACAAATAAGATTTTTGATTATCCAATTTTTCCAACATGATTATTTTTTTTCTTGATAAAATAACATATCTTAAACCAGCATAAGATGGTGTTCCTCCCGGTAAATTTTCAGCTATTTTAAACCAATTTGAATCATGTTCCCTCGCAAGAATAAATAACTTTTTTAATTCAGTCGCTGTCAAACGATTAGGATAGACATCTGAATTAATTTCAAAAATTTCATTGATCTCAATTGATATTTAATTGCACTTAGAGATTTATGTGGAAAATAAGGTTTAACTTTATCTAAATTGAAGTAATATTTTTTGAGACGTTTTAAAAGTATTTTATCACGATCTTTGTATTTTATCACGATCTTTCCATTCACAGTATCTTGGAGAAATATTTGATAATTTTTTAAATTATTTACTTAACAATGCATTTGTGTTATACCAAGTAAAAGTATGGGTAATAATCTGCTATCTTCCATATTTAGCTAAAATGAGATCCAAAATTTGAATTAATTCCTGGCCACTTATGTAATGTGACTTCTGTCCTATCATTTTGAAAATGCCAACAATCATTATATTTCAATTTACAATTCTGCCAGGAAGATTCGCAGCTACGGAAAACCAGTAAGGACCAAAGTGTGCAACAAGATTATTTAGTAAATTTGTCTCACGATCACTCCAACGACTCGAAAATTTAAAACATCTTTGAATTTTGATATTTTTAAGTGTTGGTAAATCTAAATAATGTTTTGGTACTGCTCGAACTATTGCAAGTGTTGCTCTACCATGTAGATGTTTTGCTATCAAATCATAATTTTTACCACATTTTGCAAGTAAATCTTTCATTCATTTTCAGATCATATTTTAGCTCTACCTAACCTATTTGGGAATTTGAAAAAAGTTGAAAATTTATCAGGATTATAATTAACAAAATGTTCCATTGCATTTTTCGATTTTACTCCATCTACGTCCATATTTTATCAACAAATTGTCCAAAAGTTTTATTTCTCTTCGGTCCAAATTACTTTTTCTGGTCCTTTATTTAACAATTTTTCTTTTTTTTATCGGGAATTTTTGAAGCCATAGCTAAAAATTTATTACGGTAATCGCCAGCAGATCTAACTACCTTTTGTTTTGAAATCAAGTCCCAATCTTTTGCCCATGCTTTTCAACAAGATTCTCTAAAACTCTCAATTCTAAACTTGACTATTTTTCTGAAGCAAGTACCCTTTTTAGATTTTATTTTTTCCTTTTTTCTAAAGAAATTTTCAAATTTGCCCTCCTTGTCAAAGTCTTCAGGAATTATATTTTTATTAATGCAGTCAACTCTAGTACTAGTTGACTAATAGCACAAGTCATAGAAATCCAAAAAAAGGAATTCTGTAATTCTTATTATTATTAGTATTTTTTTTACAAGACTCTTTGATAATTGGAATAAAAAAGATTATCATGAAAAATTGTAGAACTTTACTGTGCTTGTGATACAATAAAACTTTAAAATTTAATGCTATGTAAAAAATATATATATACGCACTTGGAGCTTTAAACAATCAAGGCGAATTAACAAAATTAGGAAGGCGTATGGCAGAATTCCATATGGTCCCATTTTTATCAAAGTTCATAATATGGTCAGAAAAAATATCACTGTACAGAAGAGGTAAGAATGTGTAGCTATCGTTTGAAGTATTTTGGTAGTTTGATTTTAAAGATATTTTTTTAACCTGGTTTGAATTCGCAAATTCTTAATATGCAAAGTTCGGTATTCTACTGTCCTAAAGACAAAAATTCCATGCAGATAAAGCTCATCAGCGTCCGGAGGAGATCATTTTATGTTGCTTAATGTGTGGGAACAAGTATGTATTCTTCTAAATGACTATAATTTTACAAAATAAAATTACTAGATTATTCAAGCATTAATTAAATCTAATTTTATTAAAAAATTTTAAGTGGGTAGAAACCAATTATTAAATGAATTGATGTATCGTTCCATGACTCGAGCAAGAGATGTTCGCGATCAGCTTGTTGGTCTCTGTGAACGTGCTGAAGTAGAATTAAAACCAAATCCAAACTCGGGTGACTTATTATTGCCTATTCAAAAAGTAATTGAGCATCGTTTTGACATTAAACGAAATATGTTTGATTACATGACTAAAAAATTCTCGATTTAATTGGGTAGTCAATTGTGTCAGGGTTTTCATGAACGCTGCTCGAATTTCGCGTTTTAGAGAATTTTATCAAAAAGTCAAATACGGAGATCCGGGAAGAACGATATATGTTCATCCAAGTAGTTCATTATTTCAAGTAAATCCGAAATGGGTTCTCTTTTATGAATTGGTTCTCACGAGTAAAGAATATATGCGTCAAATAATGGAAATTCAACCTGAGTGGTTATTAGAAGGTAATATTTCTTAATATAAATTTTTTTATATCATCTAACAAATACTAATATTATTTTGTATGGTAATATATATATATATTTTTAGCTGCACCTTATTATTATTCAAAAACGGAATTAGATGCTTTAGATGAGAAAAAGAAAATGCCAAAGAATCGTCAAGCTGCACAGACTTCGGGTACTAATGCTATTACCGTTATATAGCTTCATGTAGTATTATATAGTGATTTATATAGTAGTTTATAGATTTTTTAATTAATACTTATCATTGACTATTAATAAAAAGAAAGATCAATTGTTTATATATATAATATTGTCAATTTATAAATATTTTTTCTTTGTAATATAAAATCTGATAATCTCTATTAATAAAGTCAATATTATGGATTTTTTTACACTTAATTTTGCACAGTGTTTTTTGTGAAAGTTCATTGAAAATAAATGCATAGAGTAATTATTAATAATAAATCAAAAAAAATTAGGTAAAAGAAGAAATAAAGAAATATATACTTATCTCCCCTTCGAACATTTTACCCGCACAATTTTGTTAGAGAATCAGTTATCACATGACGTAAAAAGAATTCAGATGACGTGTGTCAAGCTTCCTTGTAGGAATCGAACCTACTGGGAAAAGAAATCCCAAACCATTAGGAAGTTTTGGTGACCCGGAAACTAGAGATCCGAAGATAACTAGTAAAAACCGGGGCTAGTCAATTGAGACCGGTAATAACTAGCAAAAACCCATTTTTTGTTTTGCCGG